ATTGTTATTTCTATAATTTCAGACTGAAGAATGTTTTTATTATTGTTATATCTATAATTTCAGACTGAAGAATGTTTTTAATATTGTTATTTCTATAATTTCAGACTGAAGAATGTTTTTAATATTGTTATATCTATAATTTTAGACTGAAGGATGTTTTTAATATTGTTATATCTATAATTTTAGACTGAAGGATGTTTTTAATATTGTTATATCTATAATTTCAGACTGAAGGATGTTTTTAATATTGTTATTTCTATAATTTCAGACTGAAGGATGTTTTTAATACTGTTATTTCTATAATTTCAGACTGAAGGATGTTTTTAATATTGTTATTTCTATAATTTCAGACTGAAGGATGTTTTAAATATTGTTATGTCTATAATTTCAGACTGAAGGATGTTTTTAATATTGTTATTTTAATAATTACAGACTGCAGAATGTTTTTAATATTGTTATTTCTATAATTTCAGACTGAAGGATGTTTTTAGTATTGTTATTTCTATAATTTCAGACTGAAGGATATTTTTAATGTTGTTATTTATATAATTTCAGACTGAAGGATGTTTTTAATATTGTTATTTCTATAATTTCAGACTGAATGATGTTTTTAATATTGTTATTTCTATAATTTTAGACTGAATGATGTTTTTAATATTGTTATTTCTATAATTTTAGATTGAAGGATGTTTTTAATATTGTTATTTCTATAATTTCAGACTGAAGGATGTTTTTAATATTGTTATGTCTATAATTTCAGATTGAAGGATATTTTTAATATTGTTATTTCTATAATTTCAGACTGAAGGATATTTTTAATGTTGTTATTTATATAATTTCAGACTGAAGGATGTTTTTAATATTGTTATTTCTATAATTTCCGATTGAAGGATGTTTTTAATATTATTAGTTGTATAATTTCAGACTGAAGAATGTGGAAGACTATCAACAGAACTCAACTCTGTACAGGATTATTAATAATATTACTAACAGTGGTATATTTTCATACAACATCTCTCCCACAAATCGGTTTTAGATCAAAGATTCCTTTTAACGACACAGATGTTTTTTCTAATAGAAAGAATAAGTTACATCCAGGGTCAGGTATCCTAGCTACCAGGAATTTTCAGAAAGCTACAAAGTCACTGAAAACAGCAAACAGACGAAAATATTTAATCTACTTTTGTGATAAAAATCGAGGTTGTAATGGATTAGGTGGTCGACAGCATAGTATAACTAATGCCTTCATTTATGCGATGCAGATGGATAGAAGGTTTGGAATCGTCATGTCTACACCCTGTGATGTTCGACAATTTTTTATTCCAAATAAATACAACTGGATTATTCCTGAAAGTAACCTGTTCGGGAAACCATACAAAGTCATCGAGAGAGGGACTGTTTTATCGTTAAACGAAACGACCGAGGTGATTTATTTACGAACTAGTTCTAAAAATTATGTTAACATGTATAGCCAAATCCAGCATAAATTACCCCCTTATCTAAAAGGTGGGACGACACGAAGCCAAATTGTGAAACTAATTTGGGAATATTTGATGAAACCATCACATTACGTGATCAACCATTTAAAAACGCTCGCTTTGCCAGAAAATTTGACTTGTGCGCATGTCCGGATCGGGAGAAGTAAAAATTTACCCAACGATGCACCTAGGAATAATTTAACGAGCGTGCCAAAACTTTGGGATTTTATGGAAAAATTTGACAATACAATATTTGTCGCAACTGACAATATTGAAGTTAGAGATTCAGCACGACGGCGATTCACAAAGCGTTATTTTGATTCCGGGGGTAAGATCGTACACATTGACAGAAAGGGTGCAGACTGCCTTGGGTTCGAAATTTCTGTAATTGATCAAATCATACTGTCAAAGTGTAGTGTTCTAATTACGTCAGGTAGTAGTTTCAGCATGATAGCCGCCTCTATCAGAAATAATTCGAAAGATCTTTATAGATTTGACAGAACAGGTATAAAGCCTTTTAAATTGTCATGAGAAGCAGCTCAAAGCATTGGTGGACTGAGGGGTCGGATCACCTAATGCCCGGGGGGGGGGGGCATTAGGTGATCCGAAATGTATTCGAATTTTATGAATATTTGTTACAGTGAGACAAAGGAACAAGTTGTAAGGGCTTAGTTCCATTTTCTCACAACCAGTTGAGTATCCCAGGAAACTCGTTGGGTATAGGTTCAGATCTGGTTGATGTTTTAAACCAGTGTTTCTCATCCTCAGTGAAATCATTCCTCTCCGAAAGAGTTCTCCCTAATCTATTCATTTCCAAAATAAATCATTTTAAAACGTATATCAATCGAATTATGCATTCAGTGATTAACCATGAATGGATATAATTTAGGGTATTTCTAAATTTTACAATTTTCGAATTAATTTTACCACTTGCACATGAACATTGTAAATGCGAATGAAGCTGTAAAACATTTTTCGATTTAAGTAAAAAATTAATTGATTAGTTGATTCCGAAGAAGTATATATATTATAAGTAATATGATGTCACGAAAGCCCAAAATCTTGTAAAAGGAACGAGTTGAATGCATTCATGAGGACCACACCTTTCTCTTCATTTATATTTCACATTTATAATTATTCGTTTAGAATTCTATCTATATATTTGTCTATATTTAATATTTACTGTTAATAATTGTATTCAATTAAAGCATATTTTTATTATGCATTCTATTTGTTTTTTTTTTCTTTTTGGGGAGGGGGGGGGGGGGGACGGGGTGTGGGGGGTTGTAGTATTGATAAATTAGATACCCCAACCAGCTTACTGTGTATAGCATTATTGTCTTATATATATAATAGGGACGCAAAATGAAAATAGGTCAGTCGCATAGCGCGTAACTCTGAATAACAACTCTACAATGATATATTGAGAACTAGTTTAAAAGTGGTATTTTTCTATATCACTCTAGAATTGATGTATTGAGTACTATTTTAACAGTGGTATTTCTATATCACTCTACAATTGATGTATTGAGCACTATTTTAACAGTGGTATTTCTATATCACTCCACAATTGATGTATTGAGCACTAGTTTAACAGTGATATTTCTATATCACTCTACAATTGATATACTGAGCACTATTTTAACAGTGGTATTTCTATATCACTCCACAATTGATGTATTGAGCACTAGTTTAACAGTGATATTTCTATATCACTCTATGATTGATATATTGAGCACTATTTTAACAGTGGTATTTCTATATCGCTCTACAAATAATGTATTGAGCACCATTTTAACCGTGGTATTTCTACATCACTCTACAATTGATGTACTGAGAACTATTATAACAGTGGTATTTCTATATCACTCTACAATTGTAATCTTTTTAATTAGAGAGCGCACGCTTATTTCCGTTTAAAGTGGGCCTGGCCCAAATCACAGAACGCCAGTGTAAACAGACGTTTTGATCGTAGCCAGGCACCGATGCGGGGCCTAGTGTAAAAGGGATATAAGACTATACTATATAAGCTGATTTTTAACTTGTCTTTAAAAATAAGTCAACAATATTTGATTTACCAACAAATTTGAAAAGAAAATTTTTATATTTTTAAATAATTGCTAACAGAAATTGTCTTTACACCAATGAGTAAAACTATCGATCTGAACTGAAAGGGACACGCTCATTATCTGTCCGGCCAATACTCTTAGAAACGGGATTTCTTAAAAGTAATAATTTTCACAGCTCACCGTCGAAATTTGAGCCTCCAAAGCCACTTGTGTCCAGAAGTATCCGCGTTAAAATGACGACTAGTTTTTTCTTGACAATATGTCACATAATATAGAAGAGATATTTATAGAAATAGAAAATGAAATTTCGAGTTTAATGTATATTTAAAGGGGTTTCCGTACATTTCTTGTATTATATTCAAGACCTAAATTAACCATAGAAATTGGCGACTGTTCCCCTTTAATATGTGCTGCTTTTAATGAATTCAATGATCATTGTCACACCTCTTTTATTACATCAACCGTGTTTATTTCATTGGTGGCACCAGCCTGATAGAACCGTAGTACAAATAGGAGGCAGACTGACTTAATCGAGACAAATTCCGTGGTTCAACTTTCGGAAATATGCAGTTTTGGAAACAGGTGATTTTTATATCTATGAAGGAGACTTGTTTAGTTCTGACAAATTTTAACGGAATTTTATTATATGAATTCACAACTTCAACATAAATATAAGAGTGTTATGGTTTGAATGAAAATGCTACACTTAATTAGGGTCCTTATTTATTATCAAGGAGAAGATTGTTATTGTATTAGAACCAGTTTATGAAGAATCTAGTCAGGTTCGGTAAAGAGAGTGTATGAATTGACGACATGTGGTAAAACTCAAAATTCGTAATCTGGTATGCAATTATTATTTCACAATACTCATAACAGGACAATAATACGAGCTATTATCAACTGGAAATAGTGCAAAAAGCAAACACCATATGAACCTTAAATAACCAGAACTATTTTAAAATCATTAAGTACCTTCAAATAATCCTATAAATTTCTATCTTCATTGGTAATAGGGCTCAAATCTTTTTTCTGACACTAAGATGAGATAAACCGAATGGATTGTGAAATTTTTTAATAAGTGTTTGATTTTGCATTTAATATTTCTTATACCCATAACTTTTCTCAATCCTTTGATCTTTAAAATAGGTTATTATCCGGCACACCTAAACTTTTGGTAATACACCTCCGCTTTTTACCATACACCTACACTTTTGCTGAGTATCTGAAAAATTTAGGTTTGCCCCAAATATGGCGGAATGCAATAAAATGCAGAAAATAAGCACATTACAAGGCTCGCCAAATCCTATTAATCCATTGTGTATATTTTCGTAGAGAATCAAGCAGCAAAAAAATGTTAACGGTCTTCTGATTCCAGTTGACATGGTAAAATAATATTTTCTGTTTCTGTTATATAGATTAGATATAAAATAAGATAAGATTCGTGTCAAATTCTTCCACAAATGGTTGTTATTGAATGTAAAACCAAAATCGTAATCAAGTTTGCAATCATGCAGCTTTTATCTTCAAAACGTGATGGGAACTCATTGTTTTTTCTTATATATATATTTATTTAGTGAATCATAAAAATATCACATACAATTTAATAGTTAAAAAAATCCATTATTCAATAATAAAGCGGTGTTTTTCATCAACATACGTCTTTGCACAATGTAGTTTTTAATCGGTCTTTAAGCTTTTAAAGGGTTCGAAAGACGGTTATTATAGCATCTGTATGTGGTTATTCTATAGAAAAACTTGACCAGATAATGATGACACTATATTAATTATATCACGAATACCAAATGACTTTTCAGTGGTAAGAGACGTCAAAACCTGGTCATATCTTTTCGGAATTACAGGAACTCCGTACGCCGGAAGGGAAAACATGTTTGTTATAACCTCACTAGAAATGAAACCTAATTGTAGTCTTTGATTTTACAGAATGTCAGCAATGTTGATTTTGATTTTATTGCTGCTGTTTATCATCAATATTCGGTGTTCACATTTGCCGTTAAACACAGAGGGACGGGTTGATGAGATAATCTCTTCCTATTTTTACTGTGGATTTCCTTACGCGGGGATTCTCTCATTTCTACAAGTATATCATGATATCGACATTGGCTACAGACAACTTCAGCGTAGACTTAAAGCTCTTGGATTGCGACGAAATGGCGAAAAGCAACCAGTGAACTTATGATGCAATTGAAAATTAGTTGAGAAATGGATCAAGGGATATCGGATATCGCACGATGCATTTACGAATTAGACAAAAATATCACACGTGAATGTGTCATGACAATATTACGGCATCCTTATCCTGAGGGTGTGTACCACAGGCGACGAAGACGTTTACATAGACGTGAATATAGCGTCCCCGACCCGAGCTACATCTGGCATATTGATGGCTGGGACAAGTTAAAACCCTTTGGACTGTGTATCCATGGTTGCATAGATGGATATTCCAGGAGAATTATGTGGCTGGAAGTATCTGCGACTAATAACGATCCTTATTTTGTATGCGAGTACTTCGCCAAATGTGTACAAATTGTTGATGGTGTGCCGACAAAGATAAGATCTGACCGTGGAACGGAAAATGTAAATGTCGAATTAATGCAGACTGTTTTGAGAACTATGAATAATGGTGACCAGTTAAATGCCAGTGCATCGTTTTTGTATGGTAAATAAATATGGAAGATGGTTCCTTAAAAACAACATTTCTGAGATAATTATATGCTGGCAGTAAAGGAATCAACCATAATGGTTTTCCCCTGAACTTCAATATTGAAATTTGATTAATCCCACTGACTATTACCTCTCAAAGCGAGATGGCGGCAAAGCCATACTCAGAATATGATAATAGTGGCAAATTCTGTTGTGTAAAATATCAGGAACTTTAGCTTGATGCTTTCTGACAAAAGCCCTGTAGTACCAATAATATCGAAAAATCTTTGTTATTCCGGAATCTCAAAATACCTACTGAAATTTATCAAACCCTGTGATTGAACAATATTGGGATAATAAAATAATGGCTGATTCACAATAAGATTGTAATCATCAGAATAAACCCGATTACCATAATTGATCTTATTCCATGCAAGAAGGATCTCACGATGGAAAGATGGAAGCGATGACAATAGTCTTGAACTATATTTTATAAACAACAGTTCATACGACAATGCAAGACCATTAGACCGCTTCAGAAAATAAGTCATAAATAGCTTCCAAGTGGCATCAATATCAGGATTCAAATATTTAGCTCACCAATTTAATCTAAAAGAGTCACATCGAATTGATATTAAAGGGATGTTCACCTTTAAGTCTTTCACCCAAAACAGTTGAACATTTAATGAATCCTGTATTGTTTTTGCCCAAAAAAAAACCCTTCTGGTATATAGTAACATTGAATTCATCACATACCCAATCCAGAATTTTAATAATCCTAGCTACATACCACAAGAGTGA